CTTGTAGGCATCCATTTGGTATACAGAGCCATTAAGTGATATGAAGAAAATGAAGTATTTGGTTTAGTTGGTGAAGGAGGGGAAAAGGAAATGGGTGTAGATGAAGTTATTGGAATGGAGTTCTATCAGAAGGAAGGAAATTCATCATAATTCTTTTCGAGTCCTCCCATTTCAACAATTTCTTCTAGATTCCTTTCTTTCTCTGTCTTCTCCGAGTTTTAATTCCAGTTCTCTTTTCCGTTATTATGTATTTGTATTCTAGGGTGGATTAGATATCTTCTCTATTTAAATGTTCTCAAATCTAGCAGTATTGAAACTCAAAAGGAGTAAAGTTGTTGCTATTCAATAAGTAGATCAAAGTAAAATAAATCGAATCAATTCCTTGAAGATGGCCGTTCGATTGTCATTTAAATGAGATTGATATTTGTCTTTTCATAGGTCATGTCACAATTCATTGTTTATAGATCATAGATCAATATCCACATGTTACATATCACTGATTTATGTTCACGTCGTCACATGTCACAGTTCACAGGTCACATGTCACACATTACACAGGTCACATGTTATATTGTATAGGTCACAGATCAATATCAACAAGTTACAGATCAAAATTAATTAGTCACATCAGATGTCACATATCTTTGTACATCGATAATATGTCACATATCACTGATTTATGTTCACGTGGTCACATGTCACAGATTACAAGTCACATGTCACATGTTATATTATATAGGTCATAGATCAATATCAACATGTTACAGATCAAAATTAATTAGTCACATATCACATGTCACATATCTTTGTACACCAGTAATGTGTCAAATATTCATGTTCATAGGGTCACAGGTTATATTGCATAGGTAATAGATCAATGTTGACAGTCATGATACAAAAGAACTGGTCACAGGCACATGTCATAGTGCATAGGTCACAGATTCATATCAACATGTCACATAGAATAGAGAACTAATCACTAGTCATTGGATTAATATCATAAGTAACAACTAATCGTTTCAATTTTTATCACAACAACTCACAGTTTACAAGCCAATGGATCTTTTAGTATTACAATTTAAAGGCCATTGGAATTTTCAATTTTCATCACAAAAACTCATTACTAGAGTTTCAACACTGTATCGTCAATTCAAAAATAGAAAGATCTAGCAACAATACAATTTTATCCACCACCAATTGTGACTTCAACACAATTTAAAGCTACTTCAGAATGATCACCAAGCTCAATTCACTACTTGTATTATCACCTTAGTTTGTGACCATTGCCTTTAAAAAATCTGCTTTACAGTGTCGATAATTTTTAATTTGTGACTTCAAATAATCCAGTGATTTTCAATGAGCTAGATATCAATAGTGGAAATCGTGATTATTTGCTTCAAAGAGTTCTCTGTGGCTTTTCTCATTTGTTCGATCATCACAATTTGCTAAATTGGAGAATCCTACTTGGAATGGAAAGATATCACAACTCACCGCTTGATTTTAGAATGAATATTTATTAAAATTTAATATTTCTATATTATTTATCACCTAACTTTTGAATGTTTAAATTTCGTTCCTTAAAATTGAAATGTTGATAGTAAACACCTTTATATATGTATGGGCCATGCTTCACATCCACTTATTTTGTACATAATCGTTAACATCCTCTCACGTGGAGAGAGGCATATAATTTATTGTGCGTAGACCTCTTTCCATGTGAGGGGCGTGTAAAGGATTATGTATATAATAAGTGTTCAAGTAGACTAACTCTATATGTATATATGTATTGTTCTCTAATTTATAGCCTATGTTAATTGGGCCAGGTGTTGGGTCTATGTATTAGGTCTAGGGATGTTAACGAGTCGAGCCAGCTCGCGAGCCGAAACTCGAGGCTCGGGCTCGTCTTGAGTTTTTTTAAACGAGCTTTATCTGAGCCGAGCCGAGCAAAAGCTCGGCCGAAAAAACAAGGCTCGGCTCGAGCTTTGTCGAGCCAAGCCGAGCCAGCTTTTTTTTTTTTTTTTAATAACAAGATCACAAATCTAACATTTTCTTAAAAAATAAATAAATTAAAATTGTATAATTTATACGAGTTACAAATCAAATAAAAACTACAAATTATAAAATTGCATTACAAATTAAATAAAAATTATAACTTACAACCCTCCTTCTTTTTCCGGGTTTGGGATCGGCTACATGACGTATGCGGAGTTAAAATTGTACACGAATAAAATATTTCGTATACAATTTTTCTTGAAACAAATAAATTTAAAAATTACATATTGTTTTGAAATAAATTATTTTAAAAACTTACAACATTCTATATTTGGATCTGCTGCAAATCTTCTGCCAGTATACTATCAACATGTTCTTGAACACGTAATTCTGCACATTCCCAATCCTTCAAGCATATTAAAGCCTCCAAGATACTTTCTTTTAGTCTTGAACATTCGTCTGATAAAATTCGACCACCTAAATTGAATGCAGCCTCCGATGCTACCGTAGACACCAGAGGTGTTAGTAGACCACGTGCAAATTTTGATATAATTGGATACTGTCTTTCATTACACCTCTACCAATTTAGAAGACTAAATTCCTGTAATTCTTTTTCAGGTAACACACTGCGAACGTCCACGCATATATACCTAGCTAACTCGGAGGGAATTTCAAAATTTGTACCACCGATATTTATCGCTCTAGATATCGATGAACTAGAACTAAACGAGGAAACACTTGTATTACTTTCCAAAAAATTCCATAAATTTTCTAAATTGATTGAAATATTTCTTGAAAAAGAACTTTGGGAAGTAGAACTACACTGGCATTCTTTATCAGCATAATAATTATACATTTCAGATAACGTAGATTCTATATTCACATGTGATAATTTCACATTCATGAAATTTGAAATCCCCTTTACAGTGGTTATTGTGTCATTCAAATTAAGTTGATGATTCATTACTGAAACTAAAATAAATAAAGAGGGCAATTTTTCCCAATATTTACGAAATTTTAATTACATAGAGCAAATTAAGTCAGAAAAAAAGAAAAATTCCTGTATTTATGAAATGTTTGTGAAATGTAGAAAAAATGTTGTAAAACAAGTGAAGATATAAGGTAATATACCCCGCTACATTCCTTTGTAGCATCGAAAAAAGATTTTAAAATTTTTTTCACGTGAAATGCAAGAGACCATTCCCAATCTTCTAAATTATGTTCGGGTCTGTATGTACGCCTACCATTATAATATAATGAAATCATTTTATCGTAATTTTCACACGAATGTAACTTAAGATATGTAGAATTCCATCTATATGTTACATCAGTGGCAAATAATTTATCCTGCAAGCCATACTCTGCACACAAACTGTTAAATGCTTGTTTTCTTGTTGGTAACACAGTAATAAAATTTATTGCTTGTCTAATTTTATCTAAAGGAGAACTTATATGTTCTAATCCAGCTTTTACAATTAAATTGATAATATGACATACACAACGTTGATGAAAAAATAAAGTTCCAAATGAAGGTTTAAGTTCATCAATAAATCTTTCGATAACACCTTTGTTCACACTAGCATTATCAAAAGTAAAATTTCGAATCATATCTTGCATACCATATTCCTGTATGATATCTTTTAAAACCATGTATATGTTAGTGGGATAATGAGGATATTCTACACATCTAAATGCAATAATCTTTTTATGTAAAAGCCTCAAGTGATCAATATAATGAGCCGTAGCAGCAATATAACATTTTTTATTACCACCGGTCCATAAATCAGATGTAAAAGATATAACACTATTAAAAGTTTTTAGACTTTCAATAACAATTTGTTTTCTTTTGTTATATAATTTTATAGTATCTGAACAAAGAGTATTTCTACAATAAGAAGAATATCTATGTTGAAGATATTTATGTACGAGCCGGGTAAAATGTACTGAGTCTATCATCGTAAGCGGGATCTCTGCTGCAGCCACGTATGCAGTCATTCCTTCACGAAATCTTTCCCGTGAATATAAAAAGGTGGAAAGAGTAGAACAAGAACCGCCAAAAACTAGTTCGGTCTGTTTCGAGTCGAGATCGATTGGTTTCGCTTTGCAACTCTTTAATATGTGTCTATTCAAATGTGTTGTGCTCGAAGCGAACTTCCAACTAAGTTCTTTGCCACAGTAATTGTAACATGCTTTCCAAATATCTACTCCATTTTGAACACCAACTTTTTACGTGTCGTATATTGCCAACAATCAGATGATTCTTTTTTCGACCTTTAATTTCGAATACTTCTTCCTCATCAATATTCTCCAAATCAATTGGAATATTTCAAGATGCATTTTCATAACCGGATGGAATACTTGAGCTACCCTTAAACTGATTAAACTCTTCACTAGTAAAATCCATCTATAGCTAGTATAGTATAAAATCAGAATATTAGAGTATGACTGTATGAGAGTGAAAGAAATTGAATATGAGATTGAGAGCAAAAAAATTAGAGTTGAAACTTGAATCTATAATACTACAAGTTAAAATCGATTGAAACAAATTGATTTGAAACAAAAAAATTTACCCCGTATTTATAGCCAAAAAACCCAATTTTACCTCCAAATTTGAAATTTGAATTTGAAATATTAACGAACCTCGTAAATTGAATTTCATCAGTCAAAAAAATAGTAATAGCCTACTAGGCGCTCTGCATTTGCTGCCTCGTTACAGGCAACTTAATATAGCTGCTTGTAACAACAGGTACATTTATTATTTATTTATTTTTTATTTTTATTTTTTATCTTTGAATTTGGGCGGGCCTTGTCACGGACCATTTTGGCCGGTGACACGAGCCGGCTCAGGCTTGGGCCAACGCCCCAAAATGGCTCTCGGCCCAAACCTAGGCTCGCTCCATCCGAACCACGAGCCACCAAGCCAATTTGACATCCCTAATTAGGCCTATGAGGGGGGCTGAATGGCCTTTCAACAATAAAAAACAGGTTTTAGACTGCACAGAAATAATAACAAATTGAGGACAAATTTGCATCAATGCAAATGGATTGGATACCTACGGTGAAATTTTTCCAAAATATTGAGCTCCCATTTTCCCGAAGTCTCTCCATTCTTACTGAGATAATCAGATAAATCAGTTGAATCGCCAGTAGATCGCACTTCAATTATGGTACGCAATTCAATCTTTTGTCGAGCTTCAGATTTTTCATTCTCTTTGTGTGTGAATCGAATAAATTATATGATGGTTCTGTTTTTCACTTTGGACGTATATCTGGTTAAAATTCTTCTTTCGTGGATTTGAAATCTCGAAAATGGAACCGCTGGGATACCCGATTTCAATTAACTTGTTAATGGATTCCGGTTTTTTAAAGCCCTAACAAATGCAGTTTTAGGATTCTTAGATCACGAAGTTTTTATTTTTATTTTTTATCAGGATAATGATAGTGATGGTTTTTATCAGGATAATGATAGCGATGGTGACTGTTTGAAACTCTTGTATTTAATTTATATTGTTGTAGATATAATTTTTTTGAGTTATTTTTGAAATATCTTATCTGATTATTGGGAAAATAAGTATTTCTGAATTTACATGGCCAAGATGAAAAAAATTATTAGCACCTCAGCATTTGAATCTAAAAGATGAAACATCCAGTAGAATTTCGTGGATTTAATATTCATTTTGCTTGGTTTTTCACTTATTGATAGAGTTTGAGCCAATTGTTATTCAAGAAAACTAACAGATTATAAAAATGAATGGTTCAGTAGAAACTTCGTTAGCTGGAATAATTTGTCTCTGTAAGAAAATTAGAATACTCTTCTTCTTCCTTTTATTTATTTCTTTATTTTAATTTTTGGGCAGAGTAATCTATGATTTTGTCACCCTTTAGACGATATCTATAGAATGGCATTTAATTTAGATTTTATACTCCTTTTGAGATAGCAGAGATGCAAAGTTCCCATCTTTTGCTTACACCTATTTGTCTTCTCAGCACTTCATCAAGGTCTATCATACATAATATCAGATTTAAAAGTAATGAAGTGCATAAGTGTGCTTGTTACAGTGATTCGAAAATAGGATTATAGGCTGACGTGTTGTTATTTTGAATACTGAAGAATAATATCTCACCCAAGCACATGTGTTTTGCTGTTTGAATTATAACTTTCTTTAATGCCACTGGCTGTGGTTGCACCAGTGAGAGGGATCAGTGCTATGAATTTTTTTCGTATCTAAATATATAATAAATCAATCCATTTGATGCTTGAATTTCTTGTAATTGTCATTTTATGACATCATTAAAATTATAAGGGGCTATAAGAAGTTATGTGGGAAATAAATTCCTACGATACGAATGACCAAAGCATGTGTTTATGTGTGATTGTCTACTAGTGATTGGGGTGATTTTGGAAGAGAATGAAATATAATAGGTTCCTGGAATTTGGCTTATGAGTTTTTGTGGCACATGACAAAAAAGTGAGAGAGAAGAAACACCAAATATCTATACCTCAAAGTTTGCGCCAACTCTATTGGGGTCCAGTTGAGCGTATGCCGGACTCAATTGAAAAAAAAAAAGACCCATTTGGCTGGAAGACTAATGAGGGTATGATAGACATTTTGTGAATACTTAAGTGAGGAAAAGTTAAAAAGCTTAGAAGACTGCCATTTTTTGTCTTGGCCTTCAAAAAATGGCATTCTGACAGTTTCTCAGTTTGGACGGAACAAACCCTTAGTTTTGGTGCCTAATTCCTTTGTTTTCGAAATGATTATTTAGTAAAGTATTGTTTGCTAAGAATGAATTTGATGCGGATAAAAAGATACTCTTGAAGTTTTGAAATCTACAACCTGTCCTTTGGCCAAAAGGAGCACAACCACTAAATGTCAGCTATTCTCTGAGCATTGATTGTCTAGTATGATGTTGTGGATTGTAGATACTCTTCACTGCTGTGGTAAGTTATCAGTGTATTTTTCCCCCTCTTAAAGTAATCCACATTACTGGATTCAATATGCTGCTTTATGTAGATCAGGAACTTTATCTTCTTGTTTGCCCATTTACGGGAGTAAAGGAGAGCACTCCTTGAATTTACATAAACTTTATGGTGTAGGAGGAATCAATAAAGTTTATCTTGTTTCCTTTTTATTTTAACAGTCACCTATGAGGAGAATACTTTCTCTGAAAAGGACTGCTTTGGTTCGGCATCCCACTGAGAAATTTGGTATAGTTGGTAGATTTTTCAGTACCCAGACTGCAACGACTTCGACTACCCCACAGCCTCCACCGCCTCCACCACCTCCGGAGAAAACTCACTTCGGTGGCTTGAAAGATGAGGACCGTATTTTCACAAATGTATATGGATTGCATGATCCGTTTCTCAAAGGTGCCATGAAACGAGGAGATTGGTATAGAACAAAAGACCTAGTACTCAAGGGAACTGACTGGATTGTCAATGAAATCAAGAAATCTGGACTTCGTGGGCGTGGTGGTGCTGGATTTGCCTCTGGTCTTAAATGGTCCTTCATGCCAAAGGTTTCTGACGTTCGTCCTTCATATCTTGTTGTTAATGCTGACGAAAGTGAACCTGGAACGTGTAAAGATAGAGAAATTATGCGTCATGATCCACACAAATTACTAGAGGGTTGTCTAATTGCTGGAGTAGGAATGAGGGCCAGAGCTGCATATATTTACATTCGTGGTGAATATGTGAATGAAAGGTTGAACCTTGAGAAGGCCAGGAGAGAAGCATATGAGGCCGGATTATTGGGGAAGAATGCATGTGGATCAGGTTATGATTTTGATGTTCATATCCACTTTGGTGCCGGTGCTTATATTTGTGGTGAAGAAACAGCTCTTCTGGAGAGCCTTGAGGGGAAACAAGGAAAACCTAGGTTGAAGCCTCCTTTTCCAGCTAATGCAGGTCTATACGGTTGCCCAACGACTGTTACAAATGTGGAAACAGTGGCTGTTTCACCCACCATATTAAGGCGTGGACCAGAATGGTTTGCTAGCTTTGGCAGGAAAAATAATAGCGGTACAAAACTATTTTGCATCTCAGGACATGTAAACAAGCCTTGTACTGTTGAAGAGGAGATGAGTATACCATTAAAAGAGCTTTTAGAGAGACACTGTGGCGGTGTTCGTGGTGGATGGGACAATTTACTTGCAGTTATACCAGGTGGTTCATCTGTTCCTTTACTTCCCAAGCACATATGTGAGGATGTGCTTATGGATTTTGATGCGCTCAAAGCTGTGCAGTCAGGTTTGGGAACTGCAGCTGTAATTGTGATGGATAAGTCAACAGATATTGTAGATGCAATTGCAAGGTTATCTTACTTCTACAAGCATGAGAGTTGCGGCCAGTGTACACCTTGTAGAGAAGGTACAGGATGGCTCTGGATGATCATGGAGAGATTGAAGGTGGGAAATGCAAAGTTGGAGGAGATTGATATGCTACATGAAGTGACAAAGCAGATTGAAGGACACACAATCTGTGCCTTAGGTGATGCTGCTGCTTGGCCAGTTCAAGGTCTTATCAGGCACTTCCGACCAGAGCTTGAGCGAAGGATCAGGGAGCATGCTGAGAGAGAGTTACTGCAGGCTGCTGCTTCTTGATCCTTTTATATGGGTTGGTATTATATCTTTTTTTTTTTTTTTTGCTTGTTTCATACACAGTAGTGGACATGATTAGACATTGCATAGACAAAATTTTAAACTTCTTTTTCTTCCTTAAGCATGTCAAGTCTTGTTTAATATTGCATGCCTTTGGAATGTAAGTCATTCCTTTCACAATAATCCACTAGAGATCGTTTGACAAAAATTAAAATTGATTATGGGCTTGAAAGGTAGAAGTCATTATTTTCACAATAGTCCACTAGCATATTGTAAGTCTTAACTTAGCATAAGACACGTCTAATCAAGCTCTTTCAACCATTTCTAATGGTTGAAGTACCTATGCAAATAATGCCCTCAATTATCTTACCAGATTCATCGAGAATGAAGCCCATAGATTTCTTACTTTCGGCATCTTAAAGTAAGGATTACAAGAGTTGTAAAATACAATTTCTTTCAAACAATTCGTTGATGGAGGAGCTTAATTTGTGTTGCCAAATGACTCGTTTGCAGAGGAGGTTAATTTATGTTACCATTGACCAGTCGTGATTAAGGTAGTGAATGTGGTAGTTCAACATAGCTAAGAACATTTTTAAAGTTTACTACATTTGGTTTAGCGACTCTGATAGTGACATCATCAAGTACGAATTACTTCTTTTCAACACCTTCAAATATCAGTTACTATCTTCAACGTGGAAAAGATAAAATTTGCAATTATGTTTCTTTGTCTAGTAACACTTATTACCATGTTGAACAGTAGTAATTGATTTTTGATGATTTTATTCGTAGAGTCACAAAATTAGGTATGATAAACTTTTAAAATATTCTTATCGAAAATTAGGTTGAATGGCCCGCCTTCACTGGCTCAGACACCTTTGATCGATGGTAACATAAATTACCTCATCTGCCAATGAATTGTTTGGAAAATATTGTATCTTACAACTTTTGTGATCTAGATCCTAAGGTACCCTTTTTATAGAAAATACAGTTCGTTCGAGATAAGACGATTCTGGTTGGATAGAAATTGAGGGCATTTGTTCCATAGGTTCAACCATAAAAAAATGGTCTGTATGGGCTGGATTAGTCTTATAATATGGTAGTGAATATTGCTTCCGTTTGGGTTTCATTTATTTTGCTAAAATTCTACTTTTCAAGAAACAAGTGGTTGATAAGTGGGTACGAAATAATTAATGTTTGACAGTGGTTACTACGAAATGTGTAGTTAAAATTAATGTTTGACTTTGAAAAGTAGAAGTTTAGGATGAGAAAATGAAACCCAAACGGAGGCGTTGTGAAAAGAATGGCTTCTACCCTCTAAGACGATAATATGTCTCTATTTTTTACGAAGGTTGTGGTTGGAAAACTAGTTTCCAGTAATGTGGCGTATCTTTGTATTGATCACCGCTAAAACTAGTGATAATGTCTATGATGCTCGGATTTGGTTAAAGGTACGTATTTAAGCATTGGATCTTTTATTTACCATGATATTTTTTTAATTAAAATGATCTTATCCAAATCAAAAGAACTAAAAAGCACATTTAAGAAATAATAAACCTCATGTAATTTGCTCAATCAATAAGACTATAAAATTCAAAGAAAGAGATAAATAAACCAAACTAATAAAGCTTTTAAGCTATAAATAAGCTTCAACCACAATTAATTAAAAAAAGGCCCAAAAGTTAAAACCAAAAACAGGCCCTCCCAACTACAACACCCTCTTTCTTCTTCCCTAAACCAGAACGTGACTCTCTGCAACAATGGCAGCAGCAGCCACCAAGTCCAACAGTTTCCACATCTGGCAGCGTTCGGTTGAAATTTGCCGTGTCTGCCTGTATTTTATACCCATACCCGTACCCGTGTCATGTTGTGTCGACACGGGTACTTCGGCCAAAAAGAAGGGTCCGAGCATCACAGGATAATGTAACTAAGATCCTCTTTTTAATGCATTTTTATCTTCTGCTCATTTTTTTGAATCTGGAGAAAGGTTTGATTTGTTTGTGCAATCAAGTTATTTTGGATAACTAGTTGAAAAGTTACAGGAAAATTTCTGCATAACAATCAATAGCCTGTTTTTGAACAATCTAGATTCTAGAATGAACTTTTTCTTCTTTAGCATGGAAGTGCACCAATATTTGGTTAACAGAGGTGCAATTATGTGTATTTCCCACTTTTTCGATTAGTAACCTGAAATATTTTGCAATATTTCGTCTGCTATTCTTCTTTTGTAGGGAAATGCAAACTAGATCCAGTTGAATAAACTTACAAATTTTGGAGAGATATTTTAGAATGCCATCCGTTCCAAGAAGCAGTGCGTTTAATGTAATGATTGTACCAGACAATACTTCATTAAGATTCTATGATTATTTCTTGACGTGCCTAAAAATTTGCCTCTTCTGTTTTGGCTACGAGGGTGAAAGAATATTTGTTATCAGTTTGTCTGCTTAGATATTTTGGTCAATAAGTTGAACTCCCTTATGATTTTACAACTCATGCATTGGGGGCTCACATATACTTCCATATATGGGAGCCATGCTTTGCATGTTAATCTGATGATCTCAGCCGGAATCAGAGCTGTTCAATTGCTGGGATTATTGATCCCAATTCCCTATGGAAAATTTATATATGCAGTTCATACGACCAAGCTTGTTAGGCTGTGATTCAATGTTTTGTGTACTCGGAAGTAATTTGCATCCCTTTCGCTCGCCAAATTCATTGTTGCTATTTAACTCGCACATGGTGCACCCTTTGAAACCATCGCCAGAAATTGACCCAGCACAAGTTTTACATCTTGATTGGAGTTGGTGATGCCTCTTAGAATTATAATTGCTTTCTTAAAACCCCAAAAATATGTTTGGTATGCAGTAGTAAATTGACGGGAGGATTAGACAAGACTGAATTGTGCACTTGACTTCGACTTATTGAAATCAAGTTGGGTCTCATGCTCGTCCATGTCTTATATTCTTTTGGTAATAGTTATCTACTGACTGTAATTAGTTGCTTTGCTTCCTTCACCTGAAAACTACATTAAAGAAAAGAAATTTTTACACTCCAGCTCAAAAATTGTATTTTCTTTATGTCTTGTCTTTTTAGTTTTTTGGTTGCTCATATTATTTCATACTTACTTTTCTTTCTTTTCCCTTTTCTGGAAATTAGGTAATGGCCGTGTGCCCCCATTAAAGTGTGCATTACTTTTATACAAGTGACCTCAATAGTAAAACTTGTCTCTCCAACTACTTTTCATCATTATAGCTACAGGGGTTGGAGAATCTTATCTCAAAGAAAGACAAGTGAATACATCTGTCGTATGAAGTGATCGTGCTCAAGACCTATGGGATTAAGAACTGCGTTTTGAATCTCGACGAGGGGCTATTTAGAGCACTAGGGTATGTCCCCGACAACATCGTCGTAGAAATTTATTACAGAATGGTTTTGACTTGTAACAACAAAATTTTGGGCTTTAATAGATTTTATTGGACATTTTTAAAACTTTTTAAGTTTTTAATCTAAAGAAGACAACTTTAGTGTATCTATGGTAAAGTTTAACTATTTTTCAAAGGATTATTCTAGTGATACCTAAAGGGATACTTATGGACACCCTTCAGTATATGGTGATGTATAACTAGAATAATCATTTTTTAAAATGGTCAAATATAATTTTTATTAGCATTTTGTAAGATTCCATTGAACCCTTAAGGGCCTGTTTGGGAGTGATTTTTTTTCTAAAAAATTGATTTTTTTTATCGTTATTTCACTATTTCAGTCATCATATTTGACTTCTTCTTTTACAGATGGACCTCACTTTTCTCCTAACGATCAAAAAATTAATTCTCAAAATCATTTCCAAACAGACTCTAAATTTTCTTTGACCAAACATAGTTGTGGTACGTGATGCACTTTTTTTTTTCCCCTCTGAAGGGTGAAAGAACAGAAGAAACCTCTTTTGTTTTTTTCTCTCTCCGTCAAAATCATTTGGTTGCTAGAGGACTTTTGTCCACCGCATTGAATTGACCATTTCCTTTGACAATGACGTCCAATATCATTGACAGTATAGTTCAGTTATAAATAATCAAAAAAGAAACTTTTAAAATATATTTGTTTTCTTATTTTTAATTGTACATTTGCCAATAAAATAATATTATAACCATACATTTTTCATTGAAATACTATTCGAAAATATTTTTTGAACAAAAAAAAAAAAAAGACTCAATCAAGCTCTTAAATTGGAAAATAAAACCTCAAATAATGCCCTTGTTTGAGCCTCGTTCTTTTGAAAGAATTTATTTTTCAACAGTGTTTTACATCAATTTAACCACACATTTTTTAATAAAATAATATTACACATAAATTCAAAACTTTTTCTTATTTTTTAACTATACATTTTTCATCAATACACTATTCAAAAATTCATTCTTCCCTAAAAAAAAGGGCTCAAACAAGGGCATTGTTACATTAAAAAAAAACTTCTCTTCAAATGCATTTTAAATGGAATCAATTCCAACCTCCCCTTTGTCAAACAATAGGCGCGAATCGCATCTTCTTTATCATCAGCCTACAAACGTGGCTGCTTCTACCTGCCCGCCACCCAGGCGTGGGGTAGGGCGTGGGGCTGGGGCCACGCTATACATTTATCCCTCGTTTGATTTTCATTATTTTCAAAATGTATTTTTCTCTCTTATTTTTAATTATACTTTATTCAACAAAATAAAATTACACGCAAATTGAAAATTTTTCCTTATTTTTTAATTTCACATTTTTCCATCAAATCACTTACAAAATGTATTTTTGACAAATAATATGGCTCAAACAAGCCCTTAATATTTACATACGTACAAATTGTTGAGCTTACTCCAGTGAATTCATGATAAAAAGAGAGTTTCAAATGTTTTAATTAGAACTACATATTTTCATGTTAGATGTTTTTGTTGATTTATCACGCCATGACACGATCAAAATATGCATTTTGAGGCGTTTTAAGTACGATTAACAAAATTTGTATATAATAAGTCAATATAGGGTTGGTCGAGACTCCTTTTCAGTGAAGCCGGAAGACGGTATCGAATGAGAATGTCAAAATCAATGAGAGTGTATTGTAAGTTTTATTTATGCTCTAAGTACCATAGAATTGTAAAAACTATCAAAATCAAAGAAGTAACAATAGCAACTATAAGTATTCTGAAAGGAAAATCTATTTGTATGGTCGAAAGTTTAAATTAGTATATTTTTTTTCTCATTTATGTTCCATTTTTTTATCCAACTCCTTATATGTTTGACGAGTCATAATAGATGGATTTATTTTGAGAATCATTTTACGTGTTTTTTTTTTTCTATTTTATGCAGTATTTGATGCAATTAATAGTTTAAACTTTAATGTATTAAAATTTATCCTTAAATTTGCTGCAGAATCAATATAATAACACTCCATATCGACTAATAAAAATTGAAAGAAAACATGTTTGTATTGATTGTAGTTAAAATAAAACCCTATTTTAATCGAACAAAGAAAAAAAGATAATTTAAAGATAAGCTGCTTATTTTTGCTATTTACTCAAACAAGAATAAGCAATAGCTTGGATATGATGTTGCCGTAGCCCGGGCCAAGAACTTTTCACATATTAAAGGGGTAGAATTAAAGACTTTTCAGACACATAAACTGAGTTAATTTAATCAATGGTCACTGAATTTTGCTATAAATTACTACTTATTCATCGATTTTTAAAAAATTACTTATTGTTCATTGAACTTTTTTATACGTTATTACTTGCTCATTACTCATCCAAATTTGAACAAAGTTACCAATCAATCACCCATATTATTTTTATCAGTGTTACATATATCAAAGTTCAATGAGCAACGAGTAATTTTGTTCAAATTTAGTTTAACAAAGAATAATCTTTTAAATTTTAATTAGCAAATCGTAATCTATAGTAATACTTAGTGAACAACGAGTAACGTTTTAAATATCGATGGGCAAGTAATAACCTTTTGAAAAGTTGAGCGACCATTCATTAAATTAACTCACATAAACCTTCCCTTCTTCTTCCCTCGGTTCCTGACGTTTCTTTCGGTTTTCACCTTTGCCTCTCATTTTCCCCCAAGTTTACCTCTCATTTTCCCCATCTTCACTTCTTTAAGAAACAACACAGCAGAATAAGTNACCTTTGCCTCTCATTTTCCCCCAAGTTTACCTCTCATTTTCCCCATCTTCACTTCTTTAAGAAACAACACAGCAGAATAAGTCGACAGCAAAAATTCACAATTTGAAGAAAAAGACTAGTCTTTTTAAGCATTCCTCATAGCAGAATTCTGTTTATTAATTCAATTGCATTCATCTTCCTACAGGTTAAGATACTGAATTTTTGTTTTGTGGGTTATTTGACTGTGATGATTTTTTGTTGATTTGTTCTACAATTGTTTGCATTTTGTATGTGGATCGATTTTTTAGGCCTTTTAGTTCTTCATTTTTACCTTTTTGGCTTCTTTTATGGTAGATTATTTTGGTTAATGTGAAAATAGTTGTTTTTAGATTTTTATCTGGTTCTGATTGAGATGAATATTTTGATTTTTATATCACCATTTAGCTTGATCTACTTTACCATCTCTGTTTAGCTAAACTGTTAATCGTTTCTGCCTGTTTTGAGTCTGTATCGTTAACATTTTTTATTTTATTTTTATTATTATTATTATTATTTTTTTGGGAATGAATCGCTGTTATACACGTGTTTTGGTATTGATTATGATTCGCTAAATATTACTCAATAAGAAACTACTTGAATGAGTAGATTTGGTGTTCCCCCAGTCCCTATATTTACATTTATAGTGCTGATTTATGATATTAATTTTTTTGTTTTTTTACTAGATTGTAGTTGATCAAACAGAACCCGGCAACAATTTCGAGATATTTTTCTTAAGCTATGGTTCTCGGGCTGAGGTCAAAGCACAGAAAAAGTGCTTCTGTTAAAGTTGAGTACATAGTGAACTTACAGGAGATTAGGCCTTGGCCTCCAACAGAATCACTGAGTTCCATTCAAACCGTGTTGCTCCAATGGGAAAATGGTAATAAAAATTCAGGATCCTTTATTTCTGTTGCTGGGAATACCAGTATATCGTTCAACGAGTCTTTCATACTGACCTTTACTCTGCGCCAAGATAAAAAGGCCCGTGATAAGTTTCTTAAGAATTGCTTAGAGTTCAGCTTGTTTGAGCCTCGAAAGGACAAGGGAAGTAAAGGGCAATTATTGGGGACAGCTTTATTAAATCTTGCTGATTATGGAGTACTTGAAGAAATCATAAGTATTAGCATTCCTTTAAACTTCAAGAAGAGTTATAAGAATTCAGTGCAACCAGCTTTGTTCGTAAGACTGGAGCCAGTTGAAAAGGATGGCTCGAAGTCATCACCTAGCTTATCAAAGACAGCATCCCTGGACAATGATGATAATGACCTGGAAATTGCCTCGTTTACTGATGACGATACTTCTTCTCATTCGTCAAGGACTGCTGCGTCATCAACCTTTGAGGCTGCAACAGCTTCACCGTCTCAAAATGATAAGGTAATCATGATCACTTAATTAATTGTTTGATTATTTTCAAACATATTCTATTTTATATGGTTTAGCCAATTGAATTTAGAAGTTTACTAG